GACCTTCTCCTCCTTTTGTTAAAAGCTAATGGATTTCCTCATACAAGTAATTTTCTAAATAATGAGCCCCAGACCCTCCAGCACAGAAACCTTTATAAATCAGGACTGGCCCCAAGCTGGCCACCAAGGGTTCACAAAAGGAGGAGTGTCAGGGCCAAGGCTGGGATAGAACCAGCAAGTGGACGTAGCTCTGGACTCCAGGGAGCTCCCGGGGGATGCTCATGCTCCTGCCCGTGGTTGTGATCCCCCACGCCAGGACAAGGCATCCCCACGGGCATCCAGCCCACGGCGGCACCCAAGGGTGCTGGTTACAGCTTCAGGCACAGAGCACAGCCGGAGCCGCTGCTGCGTCAAGCCCAACACAACCCCCTGAAGGCATCACCCCACGGTTGGCACAGCTGGTGGGCTTTCCCAACTGCCTTTCCAGCTCCGGTTCGTTCTGCCATGGAAGTGGTTTTAAATAAGATACTACAAAAAAAAAAAAAAAAGTACAATTCTTGGAAGAGCAGAGAAAAGGTGGCAATATGTACAGCTGAAGAAGTTCTACCTCGTGGACGTGCAAGTTGTCTTCTCAGACTGGTTTGGGCAGGAGAGGGCTCCCGCAAGAACAACTGAAGTTTAAAAAAAAGTTCGGTTTGGGGTAGGAACCCTGAGAAAAGCACTTTGTTTCCAACACATCTGATCCCTCACAGTCAGAGAGCGAGTCCTACCCCTTCCCCGAGCCCTAAACCAGCGATGGCACAGCCCAAAGAAGCCTCTAAGGAAGTTGTCAAACCCCACGGATGAAAACAAATCTGGAAGAGCAGGTAAAAGGTAGTGCCGTAAACTACAGCTTGAGAACATCGCAGTGGGCAAATTGCTTTTTAACAAGCAGACAAGTTCTATCAATAGCATCTACCGTATGTTTTTATAAAGTGCAGAAATATGTTTTTAAAAGGCCAGTAAATAAAGTTCCTATCGATTTGATCTCAAGCGTAATCTGTTTTTCTGTCTGCCACCAACAGTGGTAATAAAACAGAATCATGTAACACGGCGTTTCGGCTAATGCGACTATACATCACGGCAGGGGCTGCATGCTCGCTGGCGATCTATCATTTTCTATTGGGATTGCTTAGCTGCAGAATTTATAAACTTGCCCCAAATTGATGCAATGTCCAATTTTCTTTTCCAATTTATTTTTGGTTGAGCAAAGCAATATTGAGGCAGGACAAGGAGGGCGCATTTCCCATCTCTCCAGATGTTCTCCACTCCGCTCCTGCTTCCTCTTGGGCCTGGGAAAGGGGCCGGTGGCAGCAGCTCCTCTGCCGGCGTTTTTGGGAGGATGCTGACGAACGCTTCGCTGGCTGCGTTTAGCCTTTGCTCCATGTCACATCTTCGCAGCACATCCCAAAGACCTCACGGGATGCCTGCAGAATAAGTTATCTGATGCTCAGAGAGGTCCTCCTAGCGAGGACCGAGCATCCTCCGCATCGCGGGGCTGCATCCCGCGCCCACCCAGACCTCTGCAACTCCAGGACGGACCAACCACCGTCTCCGCTCCAACCCAGGGCTGGGGGACAGACCCCCCCCACATGCCCAAGCCACGCACACGGGAGGTTTGTCTATCTGTGCCCAATTAAAGGGTTTCCAGGGGTACCCAAACCATTGGCCACCGGCCTCCCCGTGCCTGGCAATGTATAAGACTCCTCCACACAGCCCCGAGCGTTCCGCTGGCACAGATAGCGGCCAGACCCAACGGCTGCCTTCGTTGCACCAAAGTAGTCAAAGATTGGTCTTTCAGGACTTAAAAGTGCTGTTTGATAAAGCTGGCTGCAACGGCCCAGTGTCTAAACTGGATAAGCATCAATGGATACTAAAAACCCTCTAAGGAAAAAAAAAAAAAAAAGCCACATAAGATGGTGTATTAAAGTCCGCCAGGTCAAGCAGTGGGTGATGCCCATCAAAGCTCAGCTTTACAAGCTGCCACCCCACTTGAAGGTCCTTCACCCACAAACACATTGGCATCGCCTTCACTAAAGGAGCTTCAAGGCCGTGAAGAGAGACCTCGGGCACAGGCAGGGGGGGATGTGGCCCCCACCAGACCCATTACCAGTATCTGGAACAAAGATGGGAAACCTCCCCTTCCCCTCCCCCCCCAGAAAACTGATAAATATTTCCGGAGATAAAAACAAACACTCCACATTTGGCTTTTTTGGTGGTTGTTTTTCTTGAAGAGACAAAGTGTTCCACAGAAAGCAGACACTTCCTACACAAGTTTTCATACTCAAACCCCGAGTTTTTCTGCCACTGATTTGGATGGAAGACGCGTAGCCGGCCCTTAACCCAGCCCACCTCCCACCACTCCATCCCCGAGACCGCCGAGCCTCGGCGGCACCCCGCCGGGCCGAGAGGCATCGCGTATAGTCGGCGATAACTTTAGCAAAGTGAGGGTTCCCATTCTCACTTGGGAATGACAAAAAAAACCCTAAAATATCAAGTTTCCTGACCTTAGAAATCCCATCAGAACCCATAAAAAGCAACCCCATCATCTTTGTTGCAGCGCAGGATGAGGCAACTCTTGCTCCCAGTCACTCCAGGGTGATATTTTTTTTTTGGTGGGGCGGAAAAGGTTATCCCAAAGCATTCTTACAGGTTAAGGAGTAAGAAAAATACATATATTCCTATAGAGAAAGCCTGAAGCAGTGTAAAGTGTGTTCTCTGCAACCAATTTAAGGCCACTCAGCCCCTTAGCCCAAAATTAACCCCCCAGTTTACACCCTGCAAAAGCTGGAAGGCTCAGGGCTGTGCGGAGCCGGGGAGACATTTGTGGTGACGGCCAGAGGAGAGAATAAATGCAAACCGAGGCAAAACAGCGGGGCCCGTGTCCTCAGATGCCGCCTGAACGCAAGATGTGCCGAGTTGTCTTGGAAGGAAACGGTGCCAAACGCGGCAGCGGAGATGAGCCACCAGCCAGCCCCGATGCCAGCGGGAGCCACCGGCCCTCTGCAACGGGTTCCCCGGGGGACCTGCACATCACCCCGTGCCACAACCGGCATCCCAGCCCAAAATAAACACGTACGAGCGACACGCAGCCGGCTCCCAAGGCCAACCTGGGCAGGGTCACTCCTCTGCTCTTGTTTTCAGGTTCACAAATGCAAAGCCCGCATCCCCCCAGGATGCTCCGCTTATCCCACCCCACCAACAAGCAGCATCATTTATGGACAGAGCAGCATCCACCTGCATCCCCACAGCCGAGTCCCTTCCCTTCTCCCTGCACATAGTTTGCTTTCCAGGACAAAAATAAAATTAAAAAAAAGAAAAAAAGAGAAAAGCAACTGCCTACATGCCTGGGAAACTTCGAACTACTGGAAAGCAACGCACGAGTGATGGATGGTTTTACATACAGCATCCGCTGCCAGGGAGGATTTTTTTTTTTTTTTGGAAGAATCAGACATCTTTAAGGGAAAGTTATACTTCAAGCCATGTGATCAACAGGGGGAAGAGACTTTCCAGACGGCGATGAAGCAGCCAGAAAAACGGATTTTTTTTAACACTTCAAGGTAAAGCCAAGCGCTGAGTTTCTCCCTTATTAGCTACGACTGAGCATCTGCCGGGGTCGGAGCTAATGATGGGGAAACTGCACGCAGGAGTTATCGGGGTGCCAGCGAGGGTGGCGCTGGGGATTTGGGGACAAGGTCTCTCCTCTGCAAGCCGATGTCAGCACACCCTCTGCCCAGCTGTGGTCCCCAAACTGGGCAGGTCACAGCAGGACACTGGGGGAGCAGGATGTCATCCCAACACCGACCCTCAGGACACCCCACTTATCCTCCTCCTCCCCTGCCGGGGGCACCCCCCGGCACGGGTACATCACCCTAGAGGGGGTCCGACGGCTCCCAGTGCTCCCAGTACTCCCAGTGAAGTTCAATGCTGACACCTGGCGGCGGCGGGGGGGAAAAGCAGCCCCGGCAGGATCGGCCCCCCCCCCCGGGGGGGCGGGGGGGCCCGGCAG